TGAAAAAAGATGTCTCATTCTGGGTTTAAATCCAAAATTTTGGCTATCCTTATACTGTTTTTTTTTTTTTTTCGAAATCTTTCTGACAAATGATCGTCTGAAGAATTATGAATAGTTTTGATATTCATTTGCTAGTTTGTTTGTTCTTAATCTTTATTTAAAAAGTATAATCAGACAAAAAAGACAGTGCCATAATTAATCAAAAGATATTTTTCACCAACAAAAAATTGAGCTTTTACTTCAATACTGATAAAAATTCACTTCACTTCTAGCCCCATAGACATCACAAACATCTTGCATGATAATCATGTGTCAACTAAAATTTTTACCCACAAAAAAGGTAAACATTTTGGCACCTAATGTCACTTCACTTTTCTCACTTAGACTTCATCACACAAAGCAAGCAACTCGTAATACTTTGCGGGGGTTGGACTAAGTGATAAAAACATTCAAGAATAACTAAAGGCATCTATGGTAGGTACTATAATCAAAAGATTATATTACTTTTCTCCAATAACCGCCAAACATTGTAAATTGTTCTTGGGATAAAGTCAGTCAGTTGTGGATTCTTTAAATCCCCTGGCTGTATCGATGGACGAGAGGTGACGGTAGAGGTCAGATTAGATGCAGAAGGTGAGACATCGGCGGCTGCATGGACAAAGAGAGAAAGCGACAAGAAAGAAATAAAAGTTTCACAACACCTCTTAGTTTTCTCATCATTGCCATTCATTCCAGTAAATAAAATGAGCAAGATTTGGTTGTGAAAAGATGAAGAATCATAAAAGCTAATTCCTTTCATTCCATTCAGTAAAACTAGCAAGATATGGTAGTGAAAAGACATAGGATCAGATCATTGTAAGATGCAAGGTGTGGCAGTGTGTTAGATGTGACAGTTGAGTGTGCTTGGTTGTGACAGAGTGGGATGCATATGAAAGTACATAGGCGAAAGTATTTCAATACTACTTCAGTGAACCTTGGTGAAAACTGCATTCAGTGTTGAAAACAATATATGCAGCTTTCCACATCCAAACAATGTGATAATTATATGAAATTGGTTAATAACAATGGTCTGACATTGGAAATCCCGTAAAAATTAATTTCCAGAAAGTTGACGACAAAGCAACCATACAAACTTCAACCAGAAATTGTCCAGTTTACAAATATAAGAAAACCAGAAAATACAGGGAGTGTGTGCTGCCTCCATGTGATTCACAGCAAATACATTCCTTCTCTTCTCTTGTTTATGTCATAAGGACCATTCAGATCGAGAAGAGCTGAGTGCTAGCAAGGCCGCAACCTAAATATGGCGGACCTACATGAAAGGAAGACTGCTTAATCCTGTAATGGTCTCTCTGCCGCTCACACGCCTCCCCACACGTCGATTCTCCACCGGTTGAATTGAGCCGAGATTTAATTACTTCCTTTCATGTAGGTCCCCTATATTTAGTTCGTGGCCTAGCTAGCACTCGGCTCTTCTCGATCTGGATGGTCCCATATATGCCCATTGCTAGGAACCATCCACAGCTTACTTACAATTAGATCAAGTTAGCTGTCTATGATAAAGCAATACACTAAATCAAGTGGCTAAGATGGGTTGACTTAAGATGGACCTACTTAAATTGACTCTAAATACACCTTTTGAAATCAAATAACAAGCAATTTCATTGTCCATTGACAAAATGGACAATTTCCAGTTCATGTTTATATGGTTTGGAGGAGCACCAGGGTTCTAAATATAATAATTATTTATTATGCTGAGTAAGGCTTTTCTCATGCTGTATGTGTAAACTATGGGGCATGTCAGAGGAATTATAATCTGAACAAAGATAAGAGCTGAAAACATGACAACTTTTTCAGTACCAGTTGGTTACAGCACATAACAATAAACATATTTCTTTTCAATCATAAATAAACTTGATACTGCCCACAAAATCCTAAATTATAATAACTGAGATGATAAAATTCAGAAAGTAAAATATGAAATACATGTAAGCAATGGTAACTTAAATGACAGAATAAAATAAAATGGAGAAGAAACATATTATTAAAATGTCATTAAGCCCTTCTGACATGAATTACAGAAAATATATTGAAATTTCAAGTATTTTACTCACATTTCATTCATTCATTTTATTCAATTTTGAAAAAATAAATAAAAGACAATTGAAATGTGAATCATGCATGCCAGTAGATAAAGTAAGCAAATCAAATGAGCAAGATTAAAAAAATATAAGAGGAAAAAACACATGTATTCTGAAGGTTTGGGGATCAATTGTAAGAGGTTGAATCAAAAAGGATATAAATTATTATAATTTTTTTTTGGCAACTTATGAGATATAAAATGACGGTGTATCATCTTCCCAGCATCCACAAACACAACAAAATAATCCTTACATAATAAAATACTCCAGTTTACAAATTTTATGTTTACTTTGATGTAATGTAACTCAAAGCATTACAATTGAATTACCCAGTTAGTCTTTCTGGGTGTGGATGTCATAATCATATATAATCATACATACATACATTTCATGCAACACAATAGAATTATAAATATCCAGTTGAATAATGAGAGAGAGAGAGAGAGAGAGAGAGAGAGAGAGAAATTTCGAGCTAGCCAGATCTTCAACCACTAAGTACAACATCAATAATATATGAACAATAATGCGTACAACATCCCTTTCCCAGGGTTCCAAACATTTTACCGAGACAAAGCTCCCGATCTTTCTCTGATATGACCCTGATGGGAGTGAATAATTTAAAATCAAGATTTAGACCTATTTCTTGCTTTAAACATCTTCAATACACAGCTATTGTAGGCCCTCAGAAGTAAACAATCATTGTTTGGTATGGTCAAAAGCCGAGAAAGTCTGACCAAACAAAAATTCGCTGATTCTTTTCTGATTTGAAAAACTTTCTGGAAGTCCCTGACTGAGAAAGGGGGATGTAATTTTTGAGGTTTTACCCCAGATCTCAGGTAGGCTAGAAACCCTGCGTCCTACTTAAAAAAAAAAGCATGCTCTTAACAGCGGTCAATTGCAGCATGCTACATGCTTTAAATCAAAATATGCATTGTTTAAATCAAAATATGCATAAGTGAAACCCCCAAACTGCTCTATTATTTGATGTTTAGGTCAAAGTAAACCCAACGCATGCAACCCAATTTTAAATGAAAATTTGCACACATAGCTAGACCACAAAAAATTATAGATAAAATTTCACAAACAAAAGTTGTGCCTATAGTTTGTGATTCATTGTCTTCTCATTTGTCTGTCCAATTTAATATTTTTATTTGTTAAAAAAATCTCAACTCTTAACAAGGAGATTCCTACTGAAACAGTAAAAAATTAATTTTTCCTTGATTCTAGTGTGCTGGTCAATCCCCTAAACTAACAGTCATAAACCATTTCTAAATTATTCTGTGAATGAAAATGAAATAAAATCACATAAATAAAGTGAACATAACACATACACATATACACACACACACATACACCCATGCACACATACAAGTTTGCCAACGCTGTCCATTCCTGTGTATTCTAAATATTCTTTTGGTTCTTTTGGTTCTTTTTCAGAGGTGGATTTAGGCCGACTTCTGGGTCTTCTGGAAGACGGTCAGATTTTCAAGTTTACAATGACGGGTATCTAATTTTTTTCTGTCGGAAGACTGTCAAAAGTGGAAAGTGGATCAATAAAGATAATTCTGAAGCCTGTCACAAAATATCTCTGGATCCGCCCCTGTTATTCATATATAAGTGTGTACTTACAATGAAACTATCAGAATAGTTAGATCAAACTAACTCTGCAGGGACTGTTTCTGAATGCAATCAAAATTGACATCAAATTGACAGATTAACATGCTGCCTCTTGTCTGAACATATGTATAATGATCACCTTTTCTGTATTCTACTACATTGCCAGGTAAAGGTGTAATACTTTTAATCTGATTGTATTCAGCAAGAGTCCCCACGGAGTAAGTTTGAAGTGCCTAGTACAATAGCTTTATTGTGAATGCACCATAATTCTTCTGTTGTCAGGCCAAAAGACAAACACATTTCTATGAACAATTTTGCTGGCATACCTGAATATGACATACATCAATACAAAGCATATTAAGTTACCTATCATTCCTTCACTAGTTTCTGGGAGCGCAAGATGAATAATTTGGTAATAATTGTTTTTAGACTAATATGAGACTTCTGTTTAACTGAACTGTGTTAAAAACAACAATGTTAAAAAGGTGGTGTTAGGATGGATTGGCTTGAAACTGTTCAAACTGATTTGAATTTATGAAAAAAAAAAAAAACATTTTAAAAAATCAGCACATTAATTTATGGAAAAAAAAAACATTTTAAAAAATCAGCACATTAAAAGTGTTTTTCTGAAAAGACAGCACTGTGACAGTCTTCCATTGATTCCCGTGAACATCACAACATGATGCATTATTTCTAATCTACCAAAATAAATGCAATATCTAACAAAACATACAATACCAAACTTCGTTTTACAACTATTCAACGCAACAAACAGCAACACATATATCATATCGACAAATACTATATCTACTACTACTACTATTGGGTTGGTCAAATTGATTCCATCCAAGCAAATTAAACAAAATGATGATGCATTTATTCTTATATGTCTTGTACAATAATTATCAATATGCACCTCCAATAAACAAAATGTCATTGTATTGTCATGATATATAACTTTCATATGTGTTACACATTCACAAGCAAATTTTGTCACTTATTCCATACAGAAACAACCAATGGACATGAAAAAGAACCTACAGGCAGAGATTGACTGCCAACTTTCAATTTCAACACTTTTTTATGTAAAAAAAAGAAACTACCAATAAGAATGTGAAATGCCATATACACATGGTCATCAGTCCCCATTACACACATGCTTCTGTAAAATGCTTAAAAATTTGTTAAAATACACAACAATGAGCAATTGGAAATGGTGCAAAAATTATGGTGAGAACTTACCACATGCGCCCTGCCTACGGACATGTATTGGTGTCCTCTTTCGACAAGATTCCAACTGAAGTTCACACTCATTGTTGTAAGTTATGCCGTCTGTGCCACATACTTTGTTGGTAGTCTGTAAAAAAATTAAAGAAAGTAAGCTTGAATGGAAGTTAAATTGGTACAGCTGATATATAGTACAAGTATATAGTACACGCCTTCGCTGCAGGGGCCTAGCAATTAAACCACTAGCTGAGATTTGATCTGCTTAATAATGTGTCTGGAGGTGGGAAGACTATCGGAAATCAGTGGCATCGCTTTTGAAGTGGGGTTGGCCATATTTAGTTAGCGGATCAGTTAGTTCTTGGAACACCTATTCTGAGTGGCCCCTAACAGAGCATCTTCATCAGGGTATGTGGCTATCCAGTTGAATAGCCTCCATTCAGGAAATATACATGCCATTTAATAAAAAGTAGAGGCCCAATTTGACTAGGGACACGCCATGTAATAAGAAGCAGAGGCCCAATTTGACTAGAAATATGTCTTGTACTGACCTGCTGACAGTCCTCCTGACACAAACATTTGGCATTGCCCCTGCTGTCGGCCACACAGATAGAATTAAACTCACACTCCGGGTTAGGACCACAACCAGCTGTAAGAAAAAAGACATTATAAAATAAATATCTGATCAAAATATATATCATATAACTAAACATAATATTATGTATCATATTATCAAACATATTAATTATAATGTAAAAAATACATATCATATTATCACATATATTTTATATAAAATAAATTGAATAAAATAATGCTGTTTTATTTTTCGATTCCAGCATTTAACAAATCCAAAGCAAAGATGAGGTTGCAACACACTGGATTTCCTACTTTTTTCTTTGTAAAATGCTCCAGTTACCTTTGCAAATTTTAAGTAAACAACATAAAATATTTGAAATATTTTGCCAATTCATAAAACATAGCTATGCTTAAAGATTTTAGATAATATGGCATATCATTTCCTCAGTAGCTAGGTGTTTGCTAACTTGTGCCACATAATAGCCTAACAACTTTCTTAAACTTTAGAGAAACTCTAAAGAAAAGAAAAGAGAACAAAAAAGTTATTTCCGTGCACCTTGCCTGAAACCACCTTTTAAATAAATAATCACTGTCAGTGACTGTGTCTTTGTCAGAAATCCCACTGCTGAATATAATATTTTCCATCAGGTTCCATCATCTCCATAGAGGTGGATATTTGTGGAATTTAGTTCTGACTACTTAAAAATGTGAAATCATGAAAGATCACATCTTTCATTTGATCAATGATGAAATTTGGGGAAAATACCTATTAGAGGAAAAAAATATCTGTCACAGTCACGGTTTGAAAAGGTCTTACTAAAGTTGCTACTGTACACAATTTATTTACTCCTAGAAATTTGTTCAAAAAGTTGATTATTGCCCTGTACTAACCAATAATGTTAAGACACAGCAAATCCAATGTCACAGATTGACCTACACTATTTTGATAAGACACACTTTGCTATTAAAATACCAGGTTACCACATGTGATTGGTGGCAAGAAGATGTGACATGGAAAAATATGTCAGGACAAAAGATGTGACATTCTATAAAAATGAGACACTGTGATAAATGTGACATAGTGACAAAAATATGACATGGTGACAAACATGATGTAGTGACAAATACATAACATGGTGACAAATGTGATATGTGGATAAATGTGATAAGGTGTCAAAAATGTTTAGTTATGGTAACAATGTGATAAAGCAACAAAAATATGACACGATGATGAACTCATGCATGTTATAGTGACAAAAGGGACACCCCAATCAAATACCTATCAAGATCACAACATGAGCATGGCAATCCTCAATGTGGAAACACACACAGTGACAAATTTCAATGGAAAGGTGACAGTTGTGCTAGTGAAATGATAAAAAAATACCTAGGGGTGGAGGGGTGGTGGTCTGATATCCCTCATCATGTAAACTGAAGACTGTAGTGGGAATCACTATAAAACCAATGAACACGAACACATTAAAATAATCTTGCACAATAAAATGATTACATATGATCCCTTTTAGAGCCAAAAACTTCAGTTATATTTACAAAATATTACCTCCAATATAATCATGTTTTACTGTTTGTTTTCTCAAATTTTGAGATGAAAATAATATTTTTTCATTTCTTTCCGTTTTTGACACTAAATACTAATGTTCCAACTGAAAGACTTGGCTTTCTGCCAAGTCGTGCAGCTGTGGTTTGGCTTATTCAGGTTCAATTACACTAAAAGAGATCAGAGAACCATTTTATTAATTCACAATGAACCACAGAAATATTCATAGTTTCATTTTGTTAAATTCTTGGTGATTGGATCTAGGCATACAATATATAATACATAAAAAGAAAAAGACTCAAGTCATGAAAACTGAAATTTCCCCGAATGAATAAAAGTCCCTTGTGCCATGCAAAATATCATTTTTCACATATCATATCCAAGTTATCTAACCTCCCTTTGAGCTGGTGCATGGCCATTTTATTTATCTCTTCATCAATTTTGCAAAAGCGTTTCATCATTATTAACATTTACCTGGGAGGAGAGTGAAAACATGAAAGCATGATTACACCAGAAAGTACAGCCTGGAAGGTGAGTCAAGTACTTAAAAAACATCAGAATATGTCCCTTGAATCCAACACGAAATAACCCCCCTTAGATATATCAACAAATTATTATCAGGTTACGTGTTTTCATGCAATCCTTACAGCTATTTATTTGCAAGGATACCTAAGTACTGAAAATTGGCAAATATCTCAATCATTGCTTGAACAGTGAATGACAGATGCAAGATGGGTATCACTTTTTCAGAAAGGGGTGTTATACTTAACTAAAGGGACATGGTGTAAGATTTTAAAAAGTCATGACATTATTAAACGATATAAGGTAACCTAATTTATTGCCTCCATAAAACCTTGCCACCTGTTTACCATATTGAAAAAGTTTTGAATTGCTTTCAAGACAGGGAGGTCAGAGCTCCAAATGATGGTGGAATTTGAAATCTATGCTTAAGCCTGGGTTAAGGACTTTTTTGCATATTTCCAGGTTTTTAATAGATAGGGCAAGTATCACACAAGGAGGACCAAAGGTTGGTCAGTTAAAGGAAAATACAGTTTACACCCAGAAATTTTGTTAAATATCAGTTTTTTTTAGGGAAAGTGTAATACTGAGCATCCTTTCATGATGCATAAGCATGATACTGTCCCCTTTTCTCTACCCATTTCTTAAAGAAAAATTTTGCAATGCTTAAACATACAAATAATTAATTATCATCAAGTTACATGTAATCATGCAACAGACATATTTTGATGCTTTTTGCCTTGTGTGCAAGGTATTCTACATGCAAAATTGCTTTCAAACAAAACCCTAATTTCCATCGAATTGTTTTCATGGAGCCAAAAGAACACTGTATCCCTGTAAATGTCTCTTCATCCAATAAATTGTCTAAAACTGCTGGGTCATATAAATCATAAACTGGTGAAGATAATATATTTTTCATTTCTTTTAAGAAAATTTCATTTCTAGAGTTTGGAAAAGGATGCCAAAAACTTGGAATTTTATTACTTATAAAGACAAAGACAATTAAAATATTTGTAGTCCCAATTTGAAGATGGGGCACATTAAAAGAAGTAAAAGAGTATAGCCTTTTTTTACAAAAAAAAACTTAGCTTTGGTATTGTTATTATAAAACCATTTAACCATCTTTTCTGCAATGAACTTTGCAGGAATAAAGGTTAGTTTGCCCAACTCATGGCTTTGCAATTGTTTAGCTACCCGGTCATTCCCATAAGTGTAGTTGGCAACAGATATAATGAAAACAACTGTGTTGACTTAGCATTATAATTCAATCATCATACAATAGGGCAAACCAAATACCCAATCAGTTAATAATTATCTCCCTGAAAGACAAATTCCCTAAAAGACATACTTAAAGAGTGCAGTTCCTGGAAAGGTTACATTACTGTGATGAGAAAGAAGTTCCCAGAGAAAATATATTCTCACAGAAAGCAATTCTGTGGACATTTCTTCTAACTGTTGGTGTATTTAAGGCAATTCCCAAATAGACCTTCTGTCAGAGTGCAATTTCTGGACAAAAATTACCAGTAGTCAATTTTCACTCCTCAAATCTTCCATTTCATCACATAATAAACAGACTGGGCCCCTGTTATCTGTACTTTGTGATATAGTTTTTCAGCCTCCCTTTCAAGGAAGTCCCAAATGAGTTCAAGCAGACAATTTGAAAGGCAAATGAAATTTACATTTCCTTGAGAAGGACGTGGATTAATCTGATAAAACTTCACGTATCCAATGGAATATATCTAGACAACCACAAGTAAAGCTCACTTTAGATCACATATATCCTTTACCTTTATGTTAGTTATATTTTACAGTTCTATTCTCTAGCACATACGGTAATGACTTAATCTTTTCAATAGGAAATATTATCAATATTTCAGATACATAAACTATGAAATCATTAATATTAATATTCTGTGTAGAATTTTTGTGCCTTCACTATGTGCTTCCAATATCGGGTAGCCTGCTTATCAATTTTTTGCTACAACTCGACAAGAATGTGTTAATTTTTAGAATTTATGATTAAAAAAATTACAGTATTTGTACAATTCACAATTTCCTCAATTGAAAGATCGAGGCACTACAGTAAAACTCTTGGAAAATCAAGCTGTTTTGCTGTCAAAGCACATATATCCATCACCCATGTAGTATACCCGGTAAAACAAATAAATTGAGAAATGCTACTCAATATCAATTTACTAGCACTCTCTCTCTCTCTCACTCTCTCTCTTTCTCTCTCTCTCTCACTTGCTAAAAGCCAGCCCTGCTCCCAAAAGTGCACACAGCGGGGATTAAATGAAATGTAAGCTAGAGAAACTTTGCAAAATCTAATTACAATCCCAAATAAGATGGATCTATTTCAGGGTGTTATTTTGGATAGGGAAGGAAAACCGCTCCAACTGTTTCTTTTATCTTCTATAAAACACCCAAATAGACCAAAATCAATCAGGTTCTCAACTTCGCCAGTCCCCAGGGGGAGCCACATAAGGGAATGCTCCAAATATATCATACAGAATAAGAGAGCTATCAAGTTAAATTGCAGTGACACATTACGTTCAAAAATATGAATATTACAATACAGTAAGCTCAATACAATACTTCAAAAATTAAAAAAAACATCAAAAAATGGATCCGACTGCAAAAAATATACAACAGAATGTACAAGCATTATAGCCATTTGATTTGACTTTGCTACATTCTGTAGCAAGTGGTATGAAGATATCATATGCATATATATATATATATATATATATATATATATATATATATATATATATATATATATATATATATATAATGTGTAGTCCTATACATCTTATCACCTATCTCAACCTTAGTCTACAAAGTAAGTATTCTCATATTGACTAATTTCCCAAGGTAGAATTTCAACAGGATAATCAAATTCTAGTATTAACTCATAACTCAGTTTTCAACATTACTAGGATTGCAATTTCATGTTCTGCCACATTCACTGTTCCTTAATGTAAGGGCTCCGAGTTTAAGTGCCGGAATCAGAGTGGAAATCTACATCTGGGACAGCAAGGGATTTCCAGAAGAGTCACGAGTACTAAAAGCATTGGGGGTGGATAGAACTGCATAAAAACTTTGAATGAAAAATGTCCACTTTGTGTAGTCAGAAGAACACTGTGTGTGTGTGTGTGTGTGTGTTTATGTGAGAGAGAGAGAGAGAGAGAGTTTAGATAAGATATACCATATAACTGTTTACTAATAATAACTGAAGTATTACCAGGAGCTAGGTAACAATTACACAAAAGGCATTCCAAGTAAAACAATATTTCATTGGAGACTGTAATTCATTGATCTTCAAATCCAATCTGCCATTCACGTATAAAATGTGTCAAAACTGCTTGGAAATAAGAGATAATATTCTATGCATGAGTGACCGTACCACTGATGAGATATTTGCATGAAAGCAAAACAGGGATGGGCCGAGAATTGCGAAGCTGGAACATGCCCGAGGACAGTTTTCAGCGTGTCATTTCAAGCTAGTTGATTTTATATACGCAATGACTCTCAACATTCAGGCACATCACTGGATGAACCCACTTAATATGTTGTAATGTTACTAAGCTGTTAGTTCATGGTCTAGTAGATTTCCATGCAATGACTCTTGTCATTTAGGCATATCTTTGGCACCAGTGCAACATGCTGACAAACGAATAACCAGAAATATGTCTCTATTCCAAGAAAAATGAAAACTCTCAGACCCTTTTAACTATCAATCGAGACAATGAGGATAAGCACTCGCTATAACCTATATCACCTCTTCTCTTACTGTAATCCAAAGGCAATCAACACTCCCTGTCTTAGCAAAATGAAAAGTATGCAGCAATATTGCTGCAAACTTTAGGCAACAAGTTTGCAAAAAAATTGAATATGCTGCAAATTTGCTGCTAAATTGCAAAAAGGAATTGCAGTTTGAAGCAAAATTGTGGCAAATCTGCAGCAAATTTCTTGCAAATTTGCGGAAGGCCTGACATTTTACTAATATATACCATTACATGAATGGTCTAGTATAAAGCAACTGGGGATAAGTGTAATGGTAAGTCAGTTATAAACCATTATGCCTCCAATTACAATACAATACCAGACCTTTTCCCTTTTCACCTAACTTTATTTTTTTCTCTTTTTCTTCTATCTGTCTTCAATACCACTCGATATTTCTCTTTCTGTTCAGCAATCTAAATTAAAAACGCTGTCTTAAAAGCCATACTTACGGCAGTGGCCATCATGTGACTTGTTCACCTTAACACTTCTTTTCAGCTCACAGTTTTCTTTTTCAAGCTTGCAAAGATTAGGGTATGTAATGCCATTGCTTCCACAGACCTGAAGTGAAAAAGAAAACGAAAAAAAAAAAAAACAATCAATATTTCATAATTTCTTTTTACTTCATCATGTCATTTTACAGGCATGCCCAATTTCATAATTTCTTTTTACTTCATCATGTCATTTTACAGGCATGCCCAGTCTCTTTTTGAATTTTCAAACAAATGAAGCTTTTTATGGTACATGCTATCACTTTCAGATTGCTCATCATTTACTTGTCAAAGTTTAATTTAGGTAAATTAAAAACAGTTTCTGCTAAAATGGTTCCTGACATTTTCTTTTGGACTGAAATATTATGTCTATGTTCATGCCTACAAAAAAGGAAGCAGATTCATAACCATGTTTGTACCATAAAGGATGGAAGAGGGCCAGGCTGCAGAGAGTACGGAGGCCATTTGGTTCTTTTGTACGGATAAAGATCTGGGCACCTTGGGAAAATATGCGTGAACATAGTACTCTTGAACTCTTTTGCAGCTAGAAGAATCACCTTTGGGGGAAAGCACTTAGATCAAATGGACCACACCTGACTCAAACTCCATAGCATTAAATATTGATGGAAGAACTCACTTGAGGCTGTAATTATTATCACGAAAAGTGAATACATCGTACGCGCTATACAAGGAATGTGTGTTGTCATGCTTTAGTGAATGTCACTGACCAGTCTTAAATGAAAAGAAATCTCTCAGGATTTTTACTTCCAGAAACACCAACATGCAAATACTGTATATTGTTCAAACTTTCTTAAAATAAATTGCCATGAATAGAATTCTATCCCAAATGCTTCAAGTTTCATGAAATAGACAAAGTAAAAGGCAATTTAACATGCAATTAAAGCTATGAAAATTAGAAGGACAGAAATCACATGCATGCAGTACATATTCAATTCGGAAAAGATGAACTCCAAGACCTCACCATGAAATGCCAAAGTGGAAATAAAATGACTAAAGGGAGAAAAAAACATTTTAGTCGTTAAAGCTCTTTGTGCCAAAAAATAATGTTCAAAACATGGATATACTGAAAAGCTATGGAATAAACTTATGTAAATGATGACAAAATGTCGAAATTCACCCTTTTCAAACACCTTTTATTTAGAAAAGTATTTAACTTTTACAACTGCATGAAATGTCTGGACCCCAAAAGCAACATTTAAACATGTACTTTCTATTTAATTTTCACTATGAAATATGCTGTCTGTATCAAGAATAATCATTAGTAAAAATAAATATAATTTTTGGGTCCAGATGTTGATACTATATTATTATTATTATTATTATTTTAGTGAAAATATACAATGATTCCGAGTCTGATGCAACATGTCAACAGGTGACACTTCCCTTTCCATGACAAGTAGAAGAATGGTGGTTCTGGGACATATGAAACAGACATTTTTTTCTTCTGTTTGTATTTATTTTTCAAAGAATATCTTACGAATATTAATTTTAAATTAATTTTATATGCCAGTGATATTGTCATCTATTGTAAACTGCACTGAGACACAGTGAAGTAAGAACTGGATTTTATTTATTATTATTTTTTTTTTTTAATTTAAACATTTTATGTTGAAGGCAACATTGCAAGGCCACAAAATGAATACTTATGAATAAAAAAAAAAAGAAAGCCCTGAAAACTCTGACTTCTGAAAGCTCTGATTAAACTTTAAGTCCAAATGAGCCAACAACTTAATCTATATCCATGCATGCCAGACCCCACGTCGTGAAAAAAGTCCCCGAGGACTCATTGGCTGGTTGATCTGAATCATAGTACAATTGATACACCTAGTTTTACTCGATAGTATAATTAAGGGATTTCATTTTTGATAAAAGACTACATGGCATGTGTACGTGTATTGATGTACAAGGTCAGATGAATTAGATCTTACGACTGCCTGTGACCTTCCCAACGTTCAGTTCAAAGAATTATTCGCCTTAGATTTGACCCAAATTAACGAAATCAATTGCACATGGTTCACACTACTAAATTGGCTGGAGGGAGTTCAAAGTGAGCATGAGCATTTTTCAATTTAGGTAGAAGTGAGGCATCCATGTGTGTGTGTGTGTGTGTGTGCATGCACGCGCATGTGCGCACATGTGCATGTAAGCATGCCTTCTTGTCGTGACCTTGTCGCAGAATCTTCCCCTCCAAGGCCAACCCATCATCATTAGACAGTGACATTATAAGTGATCAACATCTGTTGCAAATTACCAACAGTTGATGGTATCATCTGCCAATGCAATTAAGTATATTTTTTTTGCTGCTGCTGCAGGGCATCTCACAATAAATTATGTCCCCTAGTATCTGTCAGTACATGTAGTAATGTACCTTGTGGTGTTTCGTAATTGTTGCACCAGAAAAAAGACCAATTGTGTAAAAAAGGACAGTGTCTGTTGCACGGTTAGGTCAATTTTAGATGGCAGTAGTAATTAATTCACAATAGCAGGTATGTCTAAGGGTCCACTTCCAGACTTTTTTTTTCTTTTTTGAAATGTAATTTATGAGAGTAGAAGGATGTGGTGCTAATTATCCAGGTATTACAAAGTAAAGCAATTAATCATTCCAATATTTAATTTTTTTCTGGATTACTGTTTATTGTAAAATGTTTTCTGTAATTAGTCTTACAAAACATTAAAAAAAATTTTCGAAAATAATCAAGTCTATTTAAGTATAAAATAAATCCATTATTATTATTATTATAGTACGTAGTCCACTTAAATCAAGTATTACGACAGTATTAATCTGAACCGTAAGTCATGTCTTAATACTTATAAAACAGGCACAATATTTCATTTAATTTGGCTGTTACTTATTCATCTTCAAAGTAAACTCAATCTTTAGTCTAAAATGTTAGACCACTTTTTGGGCAATAACTCTGGAAATGATCCAATTTACATTTTACAGCTTAGGGATCTTTTTAGTATAAGAAAAGGTAATAAAATTTTGTTACTGAATATAAAATAATGTCTTATCAAGTTGCGGGGAATAACTGCTACTGTAACAATAATTGTAAAAACATGTAATTTAACAAATTTTCAAAAACAGGCAGGGACAGGGGGATACCGGGGGGGGGGGGGGGGGGAGGAGGNATCTCGGCTCCATTGGGACGACACATGGGAAGGTGTGTGACAGGCAGAGAGACTACTAAAAGATTAGGCGGTTTTCCTTTCATGTATGTCCACCATATTTAGTTCGTGGCTTTGTAGAGCCATGGCTCAACTCGATGTGAATGCGGTCTAAGATTATAACGGACATGTTTACTTAATTCTAAGTAACCTTGCTTGAAAAAAAAGCCATAAACTAATCCATGTTCCCTTGAGATGCATGTGTGTGTGTGTGTGGAACTATGCAATTCTCTGACAACAAATATCTGCAAGAAATTAATTTCAATGGTATCTCTTATCCCAGTGTCACACTAATCCTTCTGGAAATCTGCTTTGATAAAAATAATCATTCCTTTTCCCTTGTGATCAAAGTTCATGTAAATATAAAACTTCTTTTCGTGTCCTATCATAATACATGTACCTACAATATGGTACTTGGTACACATCACTCTGTGACAGCGAGAATGGCCAACAGGAAAATACACCGGTTGTTGGACAATAATAAGGGCACCATATTTGTTCAGAGCTCAATTTTATTACACCAAATTCACCCAATTTCATTAAAGATTAATATGAGATCACGGACATTGATATTTCAATCCATTTCCACTTCAATCAACTCTCAAAGCACATACAATGACAATGCAGTCATGTAGCTATCATGGCAAATGATTATTTCGCTTGATTCACTGTAATAAAGCATAATGTTAACGACGTTTTTTTATGTCTTACACACTAATGATATGTCACCTAGAATGGAAAATAATTAATTAAATCAAATAATGCTTTAATATCTGGTGTTTAAGATAATTATGTGTCAATTAATTTATAATGCATGTACTTAATTAATAAACAGATGGTGCTGACAGATGAAGTTTGTGGCTATATGGCTATTTTAGTTGACATATATTAGAATTTGATCATGTGTAATTCATAATTTAAGACGGTACATGTAACTTTGTTTAGAATTTTAAATTTTAATCTGCAATCCTCACATTGTAGAGTGCTGAGATTAACATGGAGTGCTGTTTCAAAGAAAATTATTATTATTATTATTATTATTATTATTATTATTATTACTATATAGTGCTTGTCCGTATAAAACATGTATTTCAGTCAGTTAAACAAAAACATAATGATTCATAGAAGTGTATCACACAATACATAAAGTGCATGTGTAACAAAATTGCTTGATGAAATAGCTTCCACCCAAAGGAAAAATTGCAACCACACTTCTCATCCCCATGTAATCACTGCTGTGATCAAACCATTCAATGACATTGTGTCATTTAATAGTGTGTGGCATTGGAACGGTTGCCAATCACATGCTGTTTGCCTCCCTGGGGATTAGTGACTGAATGACATAATTTGTTCAAGCAGATTTGAGAACTGTTCAGACAAGATCGAATTTGAACCAGAAATGTGATTTCAGTCAAATCAATCGATGATATTTCTTAACCACACATTCAAATGTCTTACTTAGACAAAAATTGGGCCATTCTATCAGAGGGTCAGACTACAGGGAATAAATTCCACTGCAACTTTAAACACTGTCTGATGAACCTGTTCAGTTCATGATGAAGTTTTGTCCAATTTTCAGTCCAGAATGCATTTCATGAACAATTAATTTAATAAGACTATAAAAAGGTTAAAGGTAAAAGCAGGACTTTAAAAAGCCATACTAATCAACTATGGAGTGTGTAAGGTGATGGTTTCCAAGTTCTAATACTATGAGATTAAACCACATGCAATTGTATGTTAACTTAGTCAAAGATTTTTTTGTCTGAATATCAATTGCTTTGGCATTTTTATTTCTAAGGGCCTGTACAGAACCAGCTGATTCATTGACTAACAAGTCTGTGGACCAAATATGGCGCAATCAACCTACTTAAAATCATGCCAAGATTTCACTGCTCTCCCCCTGCAGGGACAGCATATGTGAGAGGCAGGAATCCATTGTCAGGTGTACACCATATTTGATCCCTGGACTAGTTTGTCTGTGGTTCAACTGGTTGTGAACAAGCCCTAAAACACACCCACACATATTCCTCTCATCTGCACATAAGACATGTAGCCTAGAGATTGTCAGTAAACATTTTCAGACCAACAACCACTAATTTGACCTATATGCCCCCCCCTCCCACTGTTCTTAGACAGCACAATTAAGTTAGCTTGACTAGTTTTTTTAAACATATATTATTCAGTGCCCATAAGCTTAATGGAAATTGCTCAAGCGTTAGGGCATTCGTGGACCCCCTGGGGTTTGTAATTTGCCCTTGTGAGTATTCCACCTCTGCTCATAAATGTACAGTGCCTCATTGTACACAGAGAGCTGGTTATTATATCTAAAATTGCTGGTAACTTTAGTAATAAGGATAATAGCACATATTTTGTATTCAGACACTGTACCTTAAACTGATTTTTTCATCTTTCAAAGATTAATTTTTGTTTGCTTCATTCAATTTAATTAATCAAATTATTTACATGATGTCTATATAATTGCATGTTAAACCTAATAAACTACATTAACTCAAATTAATATTGATGTTCATGTAATCATTTATGTCAATTTTTGTTTGCTTTTGTACAGAAAAAAATAAGTTATTTAATCAAAATAATAATAATAACATTGATGCTAGTTTATAAGCCAATATAGCAATATGCTACACTCAACTGACATAAACCCCAATCTTACAATATAATTATTTAAAAAGAAAAAGAAATATATTCAACTTTTTTTCAATCAACAAAAGAAGAAATATGCATGCTTCTCGTCTTGACAAAACAAAGGAAATAAATACTTATAAATCAATAATAATGTGCAATGCAACACACAATGAGCTAACAACTTTAAGAAAACTCTGTACAAATTGCAATAAAAATAAACAAATAAAAATTTAAAAAAAACTAATAATTTGTGTTAAGTATAATCAGTAAGAAAATGTCACCTACCGGTTTATCGTCATCGGGACACGTTTTACATGTGCAAACACCCCTGCCTTGTTGAACGGTGCATACACCTCCGTGCTCGCATGTGACAGATTCACACGGGTTGGTCACCATGGGTCCAGTACCTGTTATAACAACACAAACAACTGTCACAAAGGCGAGAGCAGTGTAAAATGCAGTCCTCTCATCACACATCCCAGAATCCTCTCCTGCTGTCACTGTCTTCTGCTTATTTCTACATTCAAAATGGAAAACTGTTGAATTTTTTAAAATTCACTGTTACAGAAACCAGTGCAGGACATTTTTCCCCATCATCAAACATCCCATAATGATCAACTGCTGGGCCGTCTGCTACTTTTCTGTCATCTGTTAATGTCTTCTTCCAAAATGGAGGGAAAGTTGAAAAAAGAAATCAAATGATATGAGTGATAGGGGTTAACCATAGCAATCTTTTATGTCTAAATGAGCAAATAGTTTTTCCTCCCTGTAAGTCATTCACTGTGTCAGTTTCCAAGATGGAGAACCGGACTTCCAAAAATCAAGTCCTGATACAAGTTTGACATTGTTATCAAGATTTTGTCAATGAGGCACTATCATGCAATAAATCCCTCTGCGATAAATCTTGTCTATGGCATCTTAGAAAACAGTCAACTGGATCAGTTATTGAATATGAAACCAACTCGATCCTCGACGGGGTCCCTAAGTAAAATGCATTTGCAATAAATATCCCAATATCTGGAAGAAACGTTCCCGCAAAACAACCAAATTAGTGGCTATCAACCTCCTTCGTCTGGCTTGTCCAATGGATTTGTGATCTGCCAATTTTACTTTCATCGGTGGCTTTCATTCCTCCTCCTTGCTTTTAATGAGTTTGCAAATACAATTATGACACTGGGCTTAGAAGGGAACTCAAAGCTATTGATCCTTCCAAATGTTTTTTCGGAGAAGGCGGAGGCTTTCACTTAATTGGCTGCAAAATGTAGCAGCCAACTTCAACTGTCAAGAAAAAATGTTTTAACAAACTGTTGCCTTGTGGCCAATAATTTAAGGAATTGTTTAATAAATTAGCTTTAGTCTGTCTTTATAAATAAGATATTTCAATGAGCTAGCTAGGACACTTCAGTCAAGTGTTTAAAGTGTCACAAATGAATCAAATGGACTCCCAGCTGAGTAACTTACATAAAGTTTCCAGAGCTTACCATTAAAAAAATCGTCACTCATTCGTCTGACTCTTTTCAATATCCACAAGTTTTTTTCGTTCATGCAAATTCAGTATCAGCAAAAAATATACACATTGTCATTTTTCCATTAATTGCTTTCCTCACGTCACATTCGTATTTTATCACCAACAAAAAAAGCTCTTCACTGATGAAATTAGGACATAGTGCAATCAAGTATCATTTTCTATCCTAAAATTCTGAAATGTTCCTAATCCATGCACTGATCTGTCTTCAATTAACTAATTAATGTCTTATAAAAAGTCTCAAATGACTTTCTACAGTAACAGTAAGAGAATAAACCCAGACTGGATTTTTTTAACCACGTTAAGTCTAAGAAGCTACTCTAAGATGCTCTTTGATGAACTTAGTTCCACAGTCAACAAACAATGTGATCCTGGCATCTCAACCCAAGACTTCTGGTCTGTATTAAGTCAACCGATCTGGTTATATACCGGGTACATACACCAAGATGGACGCAGGGATCCCAAAGGGGATATTAAGGTCCCCTTGGCTTTCGCAGCCTAAATGGAGTTCATAGAATTTCTTTTCCATATTGAAATCTAATTGTGGCTGATTATGTTCAGTCATCTGTAAAAATGAAGAGTAATATTATCACAGATTATGATGTCTTAATCAAATAGGCTGTATAGTTTTCTCCCCCAAGACATACATACGAACATATACATGTCGCTTGGTTAAAAGGTTTGATTCAAAATTTACTGCCTTCTTCATATTTTTGTCTAAATAAAATGAATTACAAATAGTTTGCTCAGTTATACAAATCCCTTGCTTGACAAATTTTAATCAAAATTGTCTCTGAAGTATATAACCCAGTAATCTCGATACTTTAATCAAAATGTCTTGCCAATTCTTATTCTAAGCCAGATAAAACGTTTTTGTCAGAACCACTCACTCTGCCCTCCCCTCTTGAGGATATTTCCTCTCCCTCTGAGCACTTAATATTCTTTCCTTCAAAACCCTCTATATCTTTCTGTCAGTAAAATTGAAAACCAAAGTAAGATGTTCTATAGAACTCCCAAGTAATTCCGTTACAGCTTCCTACAACTAAAAGAGCACTTATCATTTCTCCAGCACAACACTGTCATCTCGTCAAAGCCATTGAAAGCCAGAAATAAGCCTTTCTATAAAGAAGAAGACAGGGTTTTTTTCTCACGCAAGCCAATTGACTACCAATCGATTTTACGCTGTTTAATTTGGGTTAATTAATAAAATGTGAAGAGACCATTAAGCATCTCTCCTGACATCTTGATTGGCAGGTGGTATGGCTGGGCATCCCTGATGGATCTGATATGTCTGGGAGTGTACTCACAAGAGATTCTGAATAGCTTGTGAAAAGCAAATTCTTTCATTTTGTAAATATTTATTTATTAG